TTTATATTTTGTGCTATATATTATTTGTGTCCATTTACAGCTAGTCTGTACGTTCCATGGAGGCAGGGATCTTGTTTGCTTCTCCGATTTATCCCCAGCTCGATATTTGTTGAATGAATGATAAAGATATTTTGAAAAATCTTTTCAGACGTTATCATAGTGCAAGTATTGGGTGCTCATAAACTCAGGTTCCAAGTGCAAGGGGAATCAGTCAAATGACAAAGCAGGTCACTAGGCCAGAATAACCATTAACGTTTGGAAAGTAAAGTCAACACAGATAGGATTGCTGATGCTCCGAAGTCACATAGTCATCTCTGTTACTTCCTGGGATTTACCCATTTCCAACCTAGAGGTATGAAGGATATGGAGCTGGATGCCTCCTCCATGGAAAAGAGGTTTGCCTATAAATTTTTGAAGAAGATCCTGAAATATGTTGATTCCGCCCAAGAGTTTATTGCCCATTTGGGTAAGTATCATTGTGAAATATCCCCCAAATGTGTGCTTCCCTTAATATTTCATAATCTCAAAAAGAATGTGGTATTCCTTTATCAAGGGATGATGCTTTCATACTGTAGCTGTTCGTAATTCATTGAGACATCATAGGTTTTGGGGGGGAAACGGTGGCTGAGATTTTTATCCCCCTCTTTAAAAAAATCTGTTTCATCCTTGGTTTCAGGGTTTGAGCCACTTGTCATTTTTTTCATATAATTCATCCTATTTTAACTTTTCCATTATTTTGCTTTGTGACTGTGGGCATATGACTCAACCTCTCTGAAGCTGCTTTCTCATGAACAAAGTAGAGGAAAGGATACTAAAACAGCTAAGAGAACTGACAGAAGAAACACCTAGCCAACATAGCTATAAAGTACTTTGTAAAATACGAGATATTTTGTAAAAATGAAATGGCCTTTCCATGACCCTGAGGAAAGTTGCTCTGTTTCTAAAATGCTGTGGTTGTTTTTGTGTTTGTTTTAACTATGGCCAACTTTGTGTTACTTTTGTCTTTGTAGAAGCCATTGTCAGCAGTGGGAAAACTGAAAAGTCTCCCCATGACCAGGAGATCAAATTCTTTGCCAAAGTAAGTGATTCCCTGCATTTAACCAAATTACTGTCTTCTTAGAATCTGTACAATGTAGGGTGTCCGGTAAGCTAATCTAACAAAGATAGGCAAAACTCCACTGGCTTTGATGAGCTGGACATGTATTTCTCTGTTGTGGAACAGTCCGGGGGCAGGTAGGTCGACTGAGATGGTAGGAAGCCTGGTCTTCTCCATGCCATCATCCAGGGACTCTGGTACTGTCCTCTCCTGGTGCTCCACCATTACCTCAAGTGTGATGTACGTCAATGGGATCCAGATGGGCTCACCTACGTCACATCGATGGGAAAGGGGAGGACAGGCCCCTTCTCTCTTAAAGATCTGTCCCATGGACTAGAACTCAGCTGTTCTAGCTTCACCCAGCCACCATGGAATCTGGGTGATGCATTCTGTAGCTGGGCGACCCCATGCCCACCTAAAACATGGGGGTTTCTATTGCTAAAAGAAGAGAAGGATGAATTTGGGTACCAGTGATGAGCAGTCTCTACCAAACAACCCTACTCAGAGGCCTAAATGCACATGAGGCCTTGGGATAACTGTGCCCGAGAAACAGAAACATAAAGGCTCAAGGCTGAAAGTGGTAGGCCCTTCCCCAAGTGTCCCTGTTGGATGCCATGCCCAAGAATTACCATGACCCACCAGACTATCCTGAAAATACTGGCTCAGGGCCATTTGCATATTTCTCTGGACCCTCAGTCAGTCAGTGACCTTCTCCATTCCCATATCCCCAAGGCCTCTGGTTTGAGGTGTACAAGAGGAAAATGGGTTGGAAACTGCAATTCACCGGGTAGAGATTCCTGGAAATTCCAGGACCTGTGTTCAGAGGCTTTATGCTCCCTGAAAATGAACTTTTTCAAAGGAACTGAAGGAGGGGCTTTGATGAACTTTCTAGAAGTTCATTTATGGTGGATTTTCCAGGTTCTCCTCCCGCTGGTTGACCAGTACTTCACCAATCACCGCCTCTACTTCCTGTCATCCCCTCTAAAACCCCTCAGCAGCAGTGGCTATGCCTCCCATAAGGAGAAAGAAATGGTGGCCAGGTGAGTCTACAAATGACAAGGTCATGGTGCTGGCGTGACCTATGTAAAACCCCAGATTCCTGGAGACTAAATGGCGAATCCTTCAGAGAAATGAGCTGTGATCTGATGATTGGTAGCACAGAGGTTTTGGTTATCCTCCTGGTTTTGAAAGTAATTATATTCATACTTATCTGTGTATTATTTTGGCAACGAAGAGAAATGCACTGTTTGGATGTATCAGTAGGGCTTGGGAAAATTTTATATACTCAGATCAACTTTTATCCTGAAATAACATTTAGAAAAAGGCAAAGTCAATTCTGAAGCTTGGACAAGCAAACACATAACGTTGAGAAGAAACAAGATTAATGCTGGCTTCCATCCCATTCTTACAGGCTTTTTAAGTTTAAATTTGTTTTAAAGAATCAGATCTTACAAGTCTTATTGTGGATGATCTGATATTTGAAATCTAGAGCAACATAATTCAATTTAAATTCCTAATAGGAAAAAAAAATGCATCTGGAACACCAGCCTTCGTCCTCATTCCGCTAGGTGTAACGTGTGGATACCTCAAGGGAGAGGAGAGCAAAGGGAGTGCTTTATGAGCAGGTTAAAAGATGAATTCCACCGTGCCTCCAGTTTTCTCCGTATGTGATTTAGGATGACAAGGAATGGGTTAGACTTCTAAACGGCAGAGTTAAGAACTGTAACGGAAGCAGTCAACTCTTTCCCTAGCAGCCATTGATGGTGAACAGCATACAATATAGTTTAGAAAGGCCCAGCCATTAAATACCATCATCCTTGTGAGGATATTCAACCTTAGGATTTAGCTAACATTTATTAAACACAAGGCTAAGCAGTGAGATCATTTTTCATACTTACACAAATGGGCTATAACTCTTGCAAATATCATTGTGAAACCTCACAGTGTTCTAAGAGCTGCCTGTATATGCTCTCCAATTTGCAGATAGGGACTCTGAGGTTTGGTCAGGTTCACGCTGGTGCCTGAAGTGACCCAGGTAGTAAGTGAGGGCAAGAATGAGAGTCGTCTCTATCCACGTTGAGTGCCATTTTTTCTGCACAGTCATTACTTAATTTCACTTAGTAAGAAAGGAGGAGCCCATGCTTTCAAAATGAGATACCCGTAGTGTCAGTTACCGACCAAAGACTTCCTAAATATTTTCAGGATTAGCTGGTGTATTTTGTAAGAAGGCAGAGAAATGAGAGGCAAAGTGAGATACTCTGATAATCCAACAGAGGGCAGGTGTGTCTGTCTTCTTCATCTATTTTTGTTAGATTATTAATTCATGGAAATGTAACATTTGTTCAGCCAGGCACCATTTGTCATGGCTGGAATACAACCTGGATCTGATCAGCCTTGCAAATAGCTTCCAAATCCATCGTGTCCTCGCTCCCCTCCCACAGAAGCGCTTGTGTCTGCACCAAATGCTTTCCACCTCCAGACCCCTCGTGTCCGCATCCTTCACCTCTGCCTCACCTCTTCTGCATCTGGTGCCCTTCGCCAGTGCTACCACACTCTCTCCCTGTGGTCCCTCTAATTTATCACTTGCAAATTCTGAGATGGGCAAGCACCTGGCGACTCTGGCCCCTCATAACACTGGCCTAAGGACTTCTACTTAAATTATGGGCCCCCTAGGGGACAAGAGGGGGCCTTTGAAAACTTAACTGGCCTTGGTATGCCTGGGCAAGTGCTTCTGACAGCAAGGGGAGCCAAGTTAGTATTAGGATCAAACGACCTAACCATCTGGCTTAGTTTGGAAAATGTTGTTTTGGGGCACCTGGGTGGCTCAGTCAGTTAAGCGGCCGACTCTTGATTTCAGCTCAGGTCACGATCTCACGGGTTCGTGAGTTCAAACCCTGTGCTGACAGCCTGCTTGGAATTCTGGCTCTCTGTCCCTCCCCAATGTGCACACGTGCGTGCGAGCTCGCTCGCTCTCTCTCAAAATGCACTTTTTTTTTTTTAATTTTTTTTTTTCAACGTTTATTTATTTTTGGGACAGAGAGAGACAGAGCATGAACGGGGGAGGGGCAGAGAGAGAGGGAGACACAGAATCGGAAAAAGACTCCAGGCTCTGAGCCATCAGCCCAGAGCCCGACGCGGGGCTCGAACTCCCGGACCGCGAGATCGTGACCTGGCTGAAGTCGGACGCTCAACCGACTGCACCACCCAGGCGCCCCTCAAAATGCACTTTTTAAAAATAATGTTACTTCGTACTGAGCATGAGTCCACTTTGAAGCATTTCACCAGAAATATCTGAGTTTATCAGCCCCTAATTCTAATTCTAAAAAGTAAGAGGATCTTGTGATAACTGTCTACTTACAGGTGAGAAAAGTGATGCCCAGAGCAGCTTAGTGGCTTCACCAGGACAGCCCAGCTAGTCAGAGTAGAGCCACGGCACACATGTTCCTTCAGGCTATCCCCCTCCCCCAACTCCATGATTTTTTTTTTTTTTTTTATCAAATACATATGTCTTTAAAAAATGGACACAATGAGGGGAGCCTGGGTGGCTCAGGTGCTTAAGCATCAGCCTTCGGCTCAGGTCATGATCTCACAGTTTGTGTGTGTGAGCCCCATGCTGGGCTCTGTGCTACCAGCTCAGAGCCTGGAGCCTCCTTCAGATTCTGTGTCTGCCTGCCCCCCTCTCTCTCTCTCTCTCTCAAAAATAAATAAACATTAAAATTTTTTTTAAATGGGCACAATGAGGGGTGCCTGAGTGGCTCAGTCAGTTGAGTGTCCGGCACTTAATTTCAGCTCAGATCATGATCTGATGGTTCCTGAGTTTGAACCTCGGGTCAGGCTTTCTGCTGTCCACACAGAGTCTGCTTGGGATTCTCTGTCTCCCCCTCTCTCTGCCTCTCCCTTGCACACGTGTGCCCTCTCTCTCTCTCTCAAAAATAAACATTAAATTTATTTTTAAGTGGACACAGTGAGGGGCACTTGGGTGTCTCTGTCTGTTAAGCATCAGGCTCTTGATTTCAGCTCAGGTCATTATCTCATGGTTGGTGAGATCGAGCCCCACATCTGTACTGACAGCATGGAGCCTGCTTCGGAATCTCTGGCTCTCCTTCTCTCTCTTCTTCTCTCTCTCTCTCTCTCTCTCTCTCTCTCTCTCTCTCTCTCAAAAATAAACTTTTTTTTAAAAAAGTACACATGATGAGAAACACAAAAAAGCAGTCCGTTATTTAATTTCATATTAGCAGTCTGTCAGATTTCTATTAACTTACTCTGAGTTCTCTGAAGCACTAGGCCAGGGTTTCCAACTTATTCCCACTGCAAAAACAGATGACTAACCACAGGGGAACTTTGGCTGCGATTTTCTAGTCGACAGCCCAGTAGACTCAGGGCATTAATTGAAAGCCACTTAAAAGTGAGCAAGTCTGTGTTATTATTTTTTTTTTAAGTTTTTATTTAAATTCCGGTTAGTGAACCTACAGTGTCATGGTAGTTTCAGTTGTACAATATAGTGATTCAGCCCTTCAGTACATAAAGGCGAGCAAGTTTTGATCTCCACCGACACTCAGGATGTGTTTCTTCTCTGAGCTGTCCCCGAAAAGACTTCTGCCGCTGTTGTGGGTCAGAGAGCCCGTGACGAGCTATGAGTGAGAGGTTGGGAAGGATTTCAGCTCAATCTCACCTTGGAAGCCCTTGGCCTGTATCAGGTGTTTTTATTCTAACTTCCCTTTTCTGTTCCACCAGGAAGGACTGCTTTCTCAAGGGACTACAAAGTTCTTGTCTAGCTGTGCCACTGTCACATAGTGTCAGAGTTCTGAGTACTCTCTCCCCAGGAACTACTGGTAGTTCAGGCCAAATTACGGCTATAGTGGGCAAGGGTCCATCCATGGCATATTCACATACGTTTATGGAGCTTTCTTCTAACTGCACAGGGCTCTCTGCTAGATACCATGGAAAGTAAAATGATAAGATACAGCTGGACCTCCAAGGGGTTCTGGGGTAGAAAAGATGGGTGAAAGGGTGGAGTAGGGTCAGAAAGCACAAAAGCATAGCAGATGGGCTTTCCTAACTTCCCGGGGCACAGTGAGGACAGCTACTCGGTCAGGCCCACAGACTGATAGGAAATGACAGAGGAAAGCAATATCCTAAAATGTTTTTATTCAACATCATATCCCCCTGTGCCTGAACCATTAATTTTCTTCTGTTCCCACCTTCTTCCCCACCTCCCAACTAAAGCCTCACACCCCCAGAGAAGGCTGCAAAATGGTTTGCAATCCATTGCAACAGTGGGAAAAGCATGATCCCTTTCAGAACCCTCATTTACTCCTGGATGTCCTACAAATGGATGTTTCAGCACGTGGGACTGTATAGCAAGAGGTTGTTGGCAGTAACCTTGTTACTGCAAAATACTCTAGTTGTTGCAGAAGGATTATTTTCTTTGGTGCGGGGGCTGCCTCCAAGGTGCCTTCATGACTGTCCCACAAGACAGTGGGAAGCATACATTTCTTTTTTTTTTTTTATAATTTATTGTCAAATTGGTTTCCATACAGCACCCAGTGCTCATCCCAAACGATGCCCTCTTCAATACCCATCACCCACTTTCCCCTCTCCCCCACCCCCCATCAATCCTCAGTTTGTTCTCGGTATTTAAGAGTCTCTTGTGGTTTGCCTCCTTCCCTCCCTGTAAGTTTTTTTTTCCCCCTTCCCCTCCCCCATGGTCTTCTGTTGAGTTTCTCAGGTCCCACATATGAGTGAAGATATATGGTATCTGTCTTTTTCTGCCTGACTTATTTCACTTAGCATGACACTCTACCCTGTGATCCAGCAATAGCACTGCTAGGAATTTACCCAAAGGATACAGAAGTGCTGATGCACAGGGGCACTTGTACCCCAATGTTTATAGCAGCACTTTCAACAATAGCCAAATTATGGAAAGACCTAAATGTCCCTCAACTGACGAATGGATAAAGAAGATGTGGTTTATATATACAATGGAATACTATTTGGCAACGAGAAAGAATGAAATCTGGCCATTTGCAGCAACATGGATGGAACTGGAAAGCATATGTTTTTCTAGTGTGGTCCAGAGGATCCTTTGAGAGGGACACAGTGCATCTTGCTCAAGGGTCATTCTGTGCTCTTTGTTTTAAAGTGTGGGGGCCTGGGGTAGGGAGGATACGAGTAAGACCTTGGATTTCTGTGCCTTTCCTACTCGCCTTCTTTTCTGCTTCAGCCTGTTCTGCAAACTCGCTGCTCTTGTTCGACACAGGATTTCCCTCTTTGGTAAGTGAAGAGGAGTATTGCTCAAAGCCTCACTCCTCCCTGTAATTATCCTTCACTTGCATTTTGCCTTTATTTCTGGTGCCTACAGACAACCTGAGCCTTAGGACTAAGGTGTCACCTAAATTTGCCATAGAAAATTGATATGAAGTATGATAAATGACCTCTCTACCCCTACAACAGCTCAAATTTTCCACACCGATGAATGTTTTAAGCTCTGCCTCTAACATCCATCAAACAGTGTATGTGTCAGGCCAAAGATAAATGCATTGTCCCAGCACACAGGTCTGGCACTCTTAGTGTTGATGGTTAATTATGCCGGGATGTGGTTTGTGCATATTGAGAAGATTGCATTTAAAAGATAGGCTGGGCGCACCTGTGTAGCTCAGTAGGTTGAGTGTCTGACTTTGGCTCAGGTCATGATCTCATGGTTCGTGAGTTCGAGCCGTGCATCGGGCTCACTGCTGTCAGCACAGAGCCTGCTTTGGATCCTCTGCCCCTCTCCTGCTTATGCTCTCCCCCAAAATAAATAAACATTTAAAAAAAGACAGGCTGAAGGGTTTGGGGAGTCACCAGTGATATTTTTTTGTTCTAGGAAGTGATTCTACTACAATGGTGAGCTGTCTTCACATCTTAGCTCAGACACTTGACACAAGGTAAGTCTGCCCAGTTTTTTCCAGTAGTTTCTCAAGACTCCCTCTGTCACCCTCATTTCTCACTTATTGTACAGAAGAGGAGATGTGCCACAGCTCTGCAGGAGCTGGGGAGAGGGAGGGGAGACAGGGAAGAGATGAATCTTCACCTGACACTAGCACTCTCCATCTTTCAGTTCACATGATGGAGGGCCACTGTCAGGGCGTGTACCGCACACTAAAAGCTGAGCATTTGATCAATTCTTGTCTTCTCTTCCTGAGAAGTTCATCTTTCAGAAGATAAAGTATATAATATAGCAAAGTACTGCTTTATACCTCATTATCCACAAAAAGGGAAGAGCTGCCTGATGGGTGGCGAGGCCACAAGCATCCTGGGAGAAGGGAACCATAACACTATGAATCCAAAGCAGCCAAGCAGGGGAATGCAGGGGATGTGTGATAAAAAGATCAGAGGCAAAGACAGGTTTAAACCCATGACCTGAGGGTCTTGCAGGAAAGATGGCTGAAAGGGAAAGGAAATTTTAACAAACGTACATGTAAGTTCTGGTAATATAAACATAAATGATCTAGCGGCGCCTGGGTGGCTCAGTCGGTTAAGCGTCTGACTTGGGCTCAGGTCATGATCTCAGTCTGTGAGTTCAAGCCCCATATCGGGCTCTGTACTGACAGCATGGAGGCTGGAGCCTGCTTCCGATTCTGTGTCTCCCTCTCTCTGCCCCTCCCCCGCTCATGCTCTGTCTCTCTCTTAAAAGTAAAACATTAAAAAAATTTTTTAAACATAAGTGATCTGATGAGATGAAAAGGAGAAGTAGTAGGAAAGACAGGGAGCTTTCTTGAACACACTCTTTGAGTAGAGCCCTTGTCAAAGTTGGGAGGATGACGCACTTCCCAAAACAATATGAGGAAGAGAGAAACCAACTAAGAGAGTGGCCACAAGATGAAAATCTACTACAAACTAAGACTGGTTATCAAAAAAACATTAAGCTGGGGCACCTGGGTGGCTCAGTCGGTTGGGCGTCCGACTTTGGCTCAGGTCATGATCTCGCAGTCCGTGAGTTCGAGCCCCGCATCGGGCTCTGGGCTGACAGCTCAGAGCCTAGAGCCTGTTTCAGATTCTGTGTCTCCCTCTCTCTCTGACCCTCCCCCGTTCATGCTCTGTCTCTCTCTGTCTCAAAAATAAATAAAATGTTAAAAAAAAATAAAAAAAAAACGTTAAGGATAATTAAAAGCGATTTTAGGGGTCTAAACCCTAGAAACGAACATGGAGGTATTAGGACAGCGCAAGTTTGCAGATCAGACCAAGGCACCCCAGGGGACTCAAATTCTGTGCACCTGAGATGAGGAATCTTTATTTCCAGAAGCATGTGGACTGCCTTTGGGAGAGTACCCCCCCCCCTTTTTCTCAATACAGGTCAGCGTGTTTGATAATCATTCCTGACAAAAACCCAAGACTAGAAAGTTAGAAAGATAGCTCATGAATCCTTACAGGTCAGGAGCAAGCCTCACTTACCTCATTTCTTTCTTCTTCTTTTTCTGGTTAGCGGTTGGGGAGTGGGGGGCTAGGACAGATGATGATCTTGAAAATGCTGGAGATAAAAAGCATCTGTCCTTGAAGCAAGCCTGTCATAATCTTGTGAATAAGATGCTGAAATACAGAGGGGCACCTGGGTGGCTCACTCAGTTAAGCATCCAACTTCAGCTCAGGTTATGATCTCACAGTTGTAGGTTCAGGCCCCATGTCAGGCTCTGTGCTGACAGCTCAGAGCCTGGAGCTTGCTTCAGATTCTGTGTCTCCCTCTCTGTCTCTTTCTGCCTGTCCCCCACTCATGCTCTGTCTGTCTCCCTCTGAAAAATTGGGAAGCGTTTTGCTCACTGTCATGCCCAAGTATTAACAGGACAGGAGCAGGATAGTCGATGCCAAAGGAGATGGTGACACCCTTTTTACTGTAGTTGCTGTCATAACCTTGACGTCCTTAAGCTAACGGCCATTTGCGTCTGTGTCCCCAAACAGCTCCTGGTACCACCATTTTCTCCTGTTCACTTCTGGGGTGACGTAGTGCAGGATTCTACAAATAAGGTGTCGCTGTCCAAGTGCACTGTACCGGCATAGAGAACACTGCTTTGTTTTCCATGGTTGTAGAGAAAACTAGGGGGAACTTTATTTTTCAATAAATTTTTGTTGTGTGGGAAACAAAAAATGTCCTTCTCCAAGCTAGGATATCCCTGCTAGCAAATAGAAATGTAAGCTTAAGCTGAGTTATTTCTTTGTTCTGAGAGGTCCTGCATCATGGGAGAGCTAATATTTCTTTCCTTAAAGAAGTTGCTCATCTCATAGTGAACTGTAAGAAAAACTCACCTCTCCTTCCTTACAATTAGAAATTTACAGAGGAATATAGCCTGCTGGGACATTCTATTAATAGCAAGTGACCAAAATCAGTTTCTTTCTAAACTCTCCTCCACATCTTCCTGAAGAGTCGAGTGCCAACTCCCTCCAACAGACAACACTGTCCAGTTGCTAGCCCCCTTTGGGATTGTGTGACCCAGCTTGCTTCCTGGATGCTAACTGCTCTCTCCTCTTCCCCTGACTCCGTGTTGGTCAGGTGACTGGGGTGTCAAATGTCTGCCCAGCTTAAACTACAAGTCACCCGTTTCAAGAAGGGGGTCGGCCAGAGGTTAGGATTGTGCTTTTGGTTTTGAACATCGTTTGCTTACAGGACTGTCATGAAGTCAGGCTCAGAGCTGGTGAAGGCTGGGTTACGAGCTTTCTTTGAAAATGCGGCGGAAGACTTAGAGAAGACTTCGGAAAATCTGAAGCTCGGGAAGTTTACGCATTCCAGAACACAGATTAAAGGCGTGTCTCAGAATATTAACTATACCACGGTGGCTCTGCTCCCCATCCTGACGTCCATCTTTGAGCATGTTGCTCAGCATCAGTTCGGGGTGGATTTACTCTGTAAGTCAGATTGCCTCTATTGTGGATTTGTATGCACATGGCTCCAGATAAAAAGGGTGTGTGACTCATTTGCTTGAATTAACCTTAAAAGCGGAATCGAGGGGCACCAGGATGGCTCAGTCGGTTAAGCGTTCAGCTCTTGATTTCAGTGCATGTCATGATCTCACAGTTTGTGGGTTTGAGCCCTGCATTGGACTCTGCTCTGCTTGGGTTTCTCTCCTCTCTCTCTCTGCCTCTCCCCACTTGCGCACATGCTCGTTCGCTCTCTTTCTGTATCTCTCAAAATAAATAATCTTCAAAAAAAAAGAAAAAGAAAGAAAGTGGAATAGAGATAATTATTCCATACTTTCTTCTTCTTAGGTTTAAAAATGGAGTAATAGGTACTTACAGGGGCAGAAATCCCCCAATTTGAGTATATAATATTTCATCTTTTTCCACTGTTATTGAGGACCAGAATTTTCCACCTACTAGCTTAGCTGTCAGCCGTTGTGTTCCCACTTAATTTAAAAAGGTTATCTGAGTAATCCAGTAGGGGATATAGGCTTGCTCCCAGGGTTTTTCAGATACCAAATTTCCTGTTAAGAAGCCCTAATTTATTCATTGGATACCAGGAGCAAAGGAGAGTTGCTAACATTTCATTATCTGAGCCTTCAGAAGAGACCATAGTCGGCTGGTATTATTTCAGTTTGCATTTAGTACCACATATAGCCCCTTAGTGCAAATACTCTGCCACCGAGCTTCAGTTTCACACTTTAAATGTTGGCGCATGATTTAATTCAATTTAAACAGTTGTCCATAGCCAAGGCTATGACTTCTATATCCCTGAACAACTAAAAATCAGTTATTTCCATAGAAGTGGGCAAAGGAATAGGGGAACATCCAAACTCATTATTTCATGTCATGGAAACAATGCATTTACTTGTTGAAAATTTTAAATTAGTTCTCATTGTGTTCATTTAGTCCCTGCCTTATTATGAGTTCCAGGCGTTAAAGGAGCATGTAGCCTATAGATTAAATTCTGTGGATTCCTAAATGGAACATACCCTTCCCTCAGGAAACCTGGCAAAATCGTGATGTGATTGAACCGTTTTGTGAAAAATGTCCGTCAGAGAACTTACGCAGGTGGACATGAGAAACGTTGCGTTGTCTCTAAAGAGGTCAGGATGTTCTGCCTACCTTCCTAGGAAATTGCCAAAAGGCTCATTCAAACTTCAGACTTCTTGCATTCTTCCTTTCCAAGAAAGGAAATATTGTTATGTGTAAAATTTAACCATAGTGTCTCCCTCTTTTGGGGGAAAAAAAAAACCCTTGTGGATCTCCTTGGTCAAATGATTTCTTTCCCTGGAAGCAGTGTGATTCATATCAAAAGCCCCCAAAGGAAGTGGGATGGCTCATTGGAGGGTGTTCTCCCTGTCAGTGGGTCCTTTCTCCGTAGCTACCATTTGGTAGAAAGGGCTCTATCGTGTGTTGGGGGGGTGGGGTGAGGGCCGGGGGCGGGGGGCACACGTGCATGTGCTTTAGCTCTTGGGTGATGCCAGCACATTCTTTCTGTCGGTGGACCCTTTCCATGTGCTGGAGGTGAAGAGCTGGGATTGAGGCCTGGAAGTGACTGCTCGTGTTTGTTCTTTTCAGTAGGTGATGTGCAGATTTCATGCTACCACATACTCTGCAGTCTCTACTCCCTTGGGACCGGAAAGAACATCTACGTTGAAAGGTAATTAGTGAACAGAAGAGGCTGACAAATTTCAGGGCTTAGAAAAATGTTACTTATGGGCTTGAAACCCTTAATAGCATCTTTTTATACAGCAAAGTCAAAATGCTCACTGAAACAGGATGGAGATTTTGAGCCCAGGCCATTCAGTGTTTATGGCTATATTAAGAAACATAGGAAGGCTTTTGAGATTTATGACCTCTGTGAAGATTTGTTAAAAAAGAGAACCACAGGCCAAAATTGGTATTAATTGGGCCAAGCCAAAGCACCAAAAAGGGCTTACTGCCTAACCTAATTGCAATTTTAACATCCCACAGAAATAGAAATCTTAACTTGTAAGTCAGGAGTTTCTTTTTTTCTTTTTTTTTTTTTTTTCTTTTTTGATTATTCAGTTTATTCATCTATAAATGAGAAAGATCCTTACAGTTTTGCTTTTAAATAACAGAATACATAGAGTGTCCTTAGACCGCCTATGGTCAGGTAGGGTCCGCCCTCTACTATGGAGGCCAGGAGGTAAGGTATGTGGCCCCAGCCTCTTGGCAATTTGTTATGACTGACAAGCCTCAATTCGTTCTACTTTGGTAGTTAGGGTTATCCACCCGAGTTCGAGATGCGTATGCTGTTTTCAGTCCTCTGGCTCTGAAATACTCCACCACAGCTCATTAGTAGCATGCATCGTTTATGCCTTTACTGTCTTCACCCCTGCGTACAGTTTTCTTAGGCAGCTCAGCATTCCAGGGTGTACCAAGAGAGGGGTTTAAACCTCTCTTGCCACCCTTTGGTAAGTCAGGAATTTCTGATAGGCGCCAATGAGGTAATCAGTCACAGGGGCCCTCTCCATACCCTAAAGGAAGATGAGGTAAACTGTGTGGTAAGACCCCTTCTCTTCCCCTTAAGGGAAAGTTTCTAGCCTGGAACAGTCTTTTTTCTTTTTTTTTTTTTGCTTCTAACTTTGTTGTCCCATCCTTCTTCCTTCCTATAAAAACTCTCCATTTTGTACCATCTCCTCCAAGCACCCCCCAGCACTTGCTAGCTAGGATGTTGCTAGCTAGGATGATTCACTTAAGCCAAGGAGATCTTCAGATTTACTCAGTTGAATTCTGTTTGTTTTTTGGTTTTGGGGTGTTTTTTTTTTTTTTGTAACAGATAGCTAGTCAGTGTATGTGACTGGAGACACAATACTATATAGCCAAGCTAAATCATGTGCTAGTGACCAAAACACATTGAAGAAATGTCTCTTTCTTCATAGTCACAGCTTCCAAATAGCTTCCAGAGTTCCTGTGGTTAAAGCTTGCAGAAAAGCTCAAGGGACAGGAGGCTGTTACTTTCGTGTTGAATGAGTTTCTCTGTGATACAACCGTGGACCTTTACTGTTCACAGCTGCCCAGATTAGCTATACTTTTAAACAAGGGCACATTTTGGTAGCAGAAATGCTATTCAGAAATCTTGAACAAGCTGATCTGCAGAGATGCTGGGGTTCCAGCTTTGCTTGCCCAAATATGCCCAGAGCAGTGGAGGCCTTTGGTGACCCCCTGGTTTTTAGCATTAAATGCTCCATGTTGTGTTGTTCCGTTTCAATCCACGGGGATTAGAAGGATCAACACAGTATTAACCAAACTCTCGATTTAGTCTTATCCTTAGAAGACTTTTTTTCCTTTCAAACATGCTCTGTCACATCATGCACTAGTGACAAAAAAAAAAAAATGTTGAAGAAATGTCTATCTTCATAATCACAGCTTTCTTTTTTTTTAAATTTTTTTTAATGTTTATTCATTCTTGAGAGACAGAGCATGAGTGGGGGGAGGGGTGGAGCAGAGAGAGAGAGAGAGAGAGAGAGAGAGAGAGACAGGAAGACACAGAATCTGAAGCAGGCTCGGAGGTTTCAGCACAGAGCTCGACGTGGGGCTTAAACCCACAAACCGTGAGATCATGACCTGAGCCGTAGTTGGACGCTCAACCAACCAAGCCACCCAGGTGCCCCAAGAATCACAGCTTTCAAATAGAGTCCAGAGTTCAAGAAATTAATTGAAGAACTAACGACCACTTATTTTCATTATGATTTTCATCCCCAGTTACTTAGCTTTCCTTATGGATTTAGAGAAGACATGCATAGTTTTGTTAGTTAGGAATAGGACCTGGGAAGACAAAAGTTTTAACTAGATTTTATATCTCATCAACAAGAGAATAAAAAAATACTTTCCACTTAATACTGAATTTCACCTTAAGGAAGGTATCCTTAATTCTTTCTTCTGTTGAGGATTTGTAAATATTTTCTCAATACTTTTTCTTACTCTCTCCAATGATATGTGTGTGCATACATACATCTGTCTGCATTAATGTTTCTTGGTACACCTTTTTGAAAAGCTAATGCATTATTCTCTTGCAAAAAGTCAGCTCTGAAATGTCAGGCCAGAAAAAGGCTGCTTTTCATGATGTTTTATACTTGATCTGTTACAGTCTTACTGCATATCTGCTGCCTCCAGCATTGTGAATATCGGTGCCGGACTTTTATACTCCATGTTAGTAGAAGCCATTTCTAGAGGAAGACCCTAGATGAAAGCAGACCCCCTTCCTCTCGGTTAGCAGAGCAGCTGAGGAACTGAACATTTAAAATCCTAGAGTTGTGATGCCATCACTACGAATGACTGTTCTTTACTTTCTTATATTGTGAAAGTAAGACATACTTGTTTAAAAAAAAAATTTAACAGTACTGAGTATATAAAGGTAAAAGTCTACTGTTTTTCTTATTCCAGACCACCTTCCCCAATACACACACACACACACACACACACACACACACACACACACACACGTACATGCGCATGCACACACACACACACATGGATCCAATTCCCAGAGGAAAGCACTATTAACAGTTTGGTGTTTGTCATTCTAGATATTTTCTACACATGTACATTCTTACGTATGTGAGATCATGATACCCATACTTCCCAACTTTGTCCCATTGGATGAAACTAAAAACTGAATTCCCAACTCCTATTTTTAGATTGATCATTTAGATAAAATAATCATTAACTTTTTACCTTAAAAAGGTAGGC